GAATAATAATGCAACACAAAATGTACTTAGAACAAAATGTATTGAAACAAGAAAGTGTACACAATATTTACATATAGTCTTTTGTATATTCCTGGTAAGACCGTTCCTGGAGAATGACTGAGTCGCAGTCGGGCAGAGTCTCTGGTTGAATCTCTTGATTCCCTTCCTCTCTTCCCGGTACCAACCATATTTATATGGTCGGTACTCCACTATGCAAATTAGGTGGATCCTACCGCAACAGTTTATTAGATGTGCTTTTTAGATTAAGTATTTATTAGATGTGTTTATTAGATTAAGTGTTTATTAGATGTGTTTAATATATTAAGTGTTTATTAGATGTGTTTATTAGACGTGTTTATTAGATGTGTTTATTAGATTAAGTGTTTATTAGACGTGTTTATTAAATGTGTTAATTAGATTAAGTTTTTATTAGATGTGTTTATTAGATTAAGTGTTTATTAGATGTGTTTATTAGATTAAGTGTTTATTAGATATGTTTATTGGATGTGTTTATTAGATTAAGTATTTATTAGATGTGTTTATTATATTAAATGTTTATTAGATATGTTTATTAGATGTGTTTATAAGTTTAAGTGTTTATTAGATGTGTTTACTAGACGTGTTTATTAGTTGTGTTTGTTAGATTAAGAGTTTATTAGATGGTTAGGAGATGTAACCAAGGTACATGTGTGTCAAACACGCCTAGTTACGCTGTCGATTTTTTCCGGATATATCCAGGTACCCTTTTGTCAGCTTGTGGGTGAATACCAGTAGATAAGTAATTGTTATAACGAGCGTATAGATAGCCTTATGTGGAGAGATTAAATCAACTATTGACTTTTCGGTCAATACAAGCTGTTGACGAAATAAGTAGCGGCTCGCCAGATAATAACGTTTTTTATGCTTAAATTGATTTTTCTCATGTCAAAGAGAATAAAAAAAAAGAACAGTTTTTCGAATGAAGCTTACCCTGCTGATGGTTTATTTAAATATTTGCAACACCTGGAAAATCCGAAATATAGAAATATGCAATACGCAACGTATTTTATATATGAGAATTTTGTAAGCACACAAGTGCTTATAAAAGTGCGGTTTTCAGGAGAATAAGATTTAGAATTTACTAGTGCTGACGACATTCTCAATGGAAGATTAAAAAATAAAAAAATGGCCATTTTTATATATACTTTACCATTTGGACCCATATACCCATCTTTGTTGCTATACTCACAACGTTTCAGCCATTGTACCTTCAGGTGTCTAGCTTCGTGTACTGGATAATCTTCTTGGAACTTTGAAAAGAACCCTTTATTCCTTTCACAAGGATTGTTCACGTTACGGTTTTCAGACATATTGGATACTATTTTTTAATTAGAACTCTCTAGTCTTCTTCCACTTTGTGTCGCTTCTTTGTTTCTTCCACTAAACCAGAGCATGTGATTTTTCAGCACTATCAAACACAGGGATTGAACTCAGAATTACCAGGAAATACGAATCATATATAACTCTCATTTTAATCCACTAGCTTATGTGTCTTTTAGTGATTAATCTACCCCCAGTTTTAAAGTTAATGCTGCAAACACTTTGCTGAATGTTTTGCCAGTCGATTTCATCTGTAGCGGACCGTGAGTTTACGTGTTGTTAAATTAAGAACAAGTGAGTTTATTCCTGCTAGAAGGTCCACTACAAGAACATGGCGGACTCAGAAATTGAATTCACCATAAAAAGTGTAAAGAAAACCAACAAGACATATATATATATATATATATATATATATATATATATATATATATACAAACAAGTATAATTATTTACTCGCTGCCCCACGCAGCAAGATGTGGCACAAGGCCGAGTTTTAAAGTGGAGTATCCGAGCCCGTAAGCTCGGGCAAAGATTCCCTATAGACCACGCAAAAACAAAGTCAGTTTACCGAGACGAGACTCTGCCCTTCGGCAGAGCCTCGTCTGGGGGGATACCCTCTGACATAAGCCAGGTAAGCATACAAAAAGTATATGTATTAAACAACAAGATTTACAATGGACATAGACATCAACATTTATGTTTGTGCATGAACGTAAAGAGTTTGTATTTTGGTGAATGTTCGTACGTACGTGTATGTGTGTATAATATTCATAGCGTCTCCCATAAATGGGAAGACGCAATCTTTTGCGAGAGCTTACATTGTGTTCGCTGAAAATGAAGAAATGAAAAAGAGAACGCGGCAATAAATCGCCCAGTATTTATAGTGTAGGGAGAGCGTCCCCTAGTTAACAATTTGGACAATTAAGGAGGAGTTAACTCCGACACATCCCTGTTTTTAATTTGGTTAAGCCATTCTCTTTACCATTGAAAAAAATAGGTAGAGATTATCTACTAATAAAATGTGTCCTCTTTCTTTCATTTGGATTGTAAACCAGACACTGGCCAAAGAATAGCTCTATTAAAACGTGGGAACGACAAAAAAAAAATATTGAGATCATTCGTCGGAAAATTTTTTGCGATGATAATTTATCTCAGAATTATTATTTCTAAATTTTGACCAAACAATTAAACAGAGGAATATTTGAAGAGCTTCTTAGGTCGATGATATTTTAGCACGACCTCGTTTATATACAGTCAAAAATGGCGTAATTATTTACTGATCCATTGATCCCTTATTTTTACGACATTATCCTTTGCCTAGCGAACTAAGCGTCAATCAATTAATTTATCTGCTGCTCTCCTAAGGCATGTTGCATGAATTTGATCCCAGCAGGGTGATTAATAAATTTGGTTTTGTGCTTGACTTGGTTGAATTCTATACAATCGAATTGATGCAAACAAACATGATAACTTTCTAAAAGATTTTAACTTGTGTGGGTGGAAGACCCAGTGAATATTTGTTCGTCGCTATATGTAAACTGAAGTAGCCTAATCCTCACACACACACACACACACACACACACACACACACACACACACACACACACATACACACACACACACAAAATGAGGCAAAAAAGAACTTATAATTCTGCTTGTTCTTGCCTTAGTTCATTTGTTAGCATGTAATAATGGACTATTTCGTTTTAATCGCGTGGAAAGACGGAAAAGACATTTAAGAAATACTAATTGGTTTCAGTAAGAAAAAGAAAAAGAAGAAGAAAGAAACGCTCTGCCAATACCACATAAATAATGGACTGTTACATTTTATTGCGAGGAAAAACGGAAAAGACATACCAGAGACGCTGTTTGATTTGAATGAAAAGAATAAAGAAAGCAAAATTGAAACAGGAAAGCCGTGAAATATTCATGGACACTACTAGTAAAAGAAGTAACGTTGTAATAAACAAGTTCTTTTTAAATTTTATTTTTATCAATGGGTTGTAAATGGTTTTTATCAATGGGTTGTAAATGTCATGTAATTTATCTTCACATGAAAAGATTGTAAAGACCGCCAAAAAAAAAAAAAAAAAAAAGATTTAAAAGTTAATTAGACTCTTTTTTACCGTTTAATTTTCGCGTAGGAAGTGTAAGCAGAGTTGAGATTGATTTATTAACATATTAGTTTGTAAAGAGATGGTTGTCAGTAAAAGGAACAACTCAGTATGCAAATTATAAATTGGAGTTACCAAAAATGAAGCAAGTACAAAATTTAAATAACTCGGAAGCATTTTAAAAGAGGACCGAAAGTGCCTTGAAATCCGAAGGACCCATGGGGACTAGTGAAAGATGCTTTCCCAAAGATCAGCAAAGTATTAAGAAACGGGAAATTTTCATTAGAAACAAAGAAAAGAGTATTGAGCTGTTACTTAATATCAGTTCTCCTATATGGCAGTGAATACAGAGCAATCTCCTTACAGATGAAGAAGAGACATGAAGCAGCAGAAATGTGGGCCTACAGAGAGATGCTGAGAATACCATGAACCAAACATGCAAGCAATGACTAAGTTTGAAAGAAAATGGAAACTTCTACTTAACACCAAGAAGAGATAATTGAAATCTCTAAGACACATAATGAGGAAAGAGGGCTTGAAAAATTTGACACTCGTAGGGCATATTGAAGGCAAATAGGAGAGAGGAAAACAGCTTATAAATTATCTAATGAGCTTGTGCAAATGGTTGGCAGCATAGGGTTTAGGAGAGATAGCAAAGAGCCCGATTTTACTAAGAGCTACAAAGGAGAGGAAATTCTGGTGAGCCATGATTGCTAACGTACTGAAAGGGCATGACACTTAGAAGAAGTTTACGAAAAGCCGTGTTATTTAGGACTGAGAAATTAATCATCATCATCATCAGCATCATAAAATATTTACACTATTTACATGCATATTGTCATCTTTGTTGTTGTTATCACAACGTTTCGGCTGTTGTGACCCCATCCTTCATCAGGTGTATGTCACAAGGAATTCTGAATTGAGATCTTTATTTAAACTCACGGGAGTAGACTGTTCTCGCTCTACTAATCATGTATAGGGATATCTCATCTAGTTCTTGTTTCTAGCACAACTCGCTCCGTTTCCACTGGGTCCAAAAAACACACTGCCCAGCCCAGGGATTGAACTCACAATTACGAAGGAGAATGAGAAATTAGAAAAATGACAAGACATTAACCAGGAGTTGAGAATGTTGTGGAATACGAAGGTTAGAGTCGTGCACTTTATCGTACGAAAAACACTAGAATCGAGATTAGATATAGTAAAAAATTGGAAGAAAGGCGATGAAGAGAGAGAGAGGGAGAGTTGAGAAAACTTACTGCCAGTTAGTTCTCAGTAGCAACCCCAAGACATTAATATGCAAATACAAAAAAAAAAAAAAAAAAGAAAACAACAAAATAAAAAATTCACTACCGTCACCACCACTAACAACAACAACGACAATAATTTTTTTTTGCACATACAAATAATAAAGAAATAAAATAAGAAACGTATTTTGATGTTTGAAGTTGCTTCACACTTTGAGAATTAAATCATTTAGAAATATTTAATATTCCCCAAAAACCTAATTCTCAAAATGCTGTAAAAATGGTAAATCTCTCTCTCTCTCTCTCTCTCTCTCTCTCTCTCTCTATCTATCTATCTATCTATCTATCTATTATACCTTTAATTATAAAATTCACTAATAAATGTCGTAAACGTCACAAACAGAATGAGTAATACCAGAAAATTATCTACCAAGAGACAACGAGATTAAAAACACACACACACACATTGCGATACAAGATACAACTTCTGTCTATATTTCTAAGATGAGGTATTGTAATTATTTACATTATTTACATTGTTCGGACTGTACTCAAGGACACATGGCCCAGTGGATAAAAGCGTTTGAGCCAAAGAGTTGTGAGTTCAAAAACTTGGAGAATTGAGTTAAAGGGAGACGACTGAGACATCCGGAAGAGGCAAGGCATGTGAAACTAGAACAGTCTACCCCGGTGGCCGAAATAAAAGCTTCAATTCGAAATTCCAATCACCTGAAGAAGGCCGGAGCGTACAACGGCCGAAACGTCGTGAATATGGTAATAAAGATGAGGACAACTGTCCGAACAATTTAAATAATGTAAACGATACAAGTTGTTCGGTGATACAAATATTCCATGATATATGATTTATGAATGGTGATCCATGATACTTTGAATCACGCGATGCAAATCTCCATGGTACATGAATAATATAAAGATATATATAAAGATATATATATATAAAGATAAATTTTTCATTATCCACAAACATACATTCCAAAAAGTACGAAAGGTTTAAAATTTAGACGTCAATGAATTTAAATGGATGAATTTAAACTTAAAAAAATTAAATTCATATTTGAAAACCTATTTATGACATTTGAAATAAACTATTATATACTTTGATTTTAAATCTATCTTAAGAAAATACATATACTCCTCTCCATTAAAATAGTCGCTCTTTATACTTTAGAACTGAAGTCAATATAATATTTTTCCCCATTGGCTTGCTTTCTCTTATATGACTGTACAGTTTTTGCTATAGATTTGAAAACCTATTTATGATTTTTTTAGATAGACTATAGTGTCTATTATTTAGCTTGCTTTTCTACTACATTTATTCCTCTACACTAAAATAGTCGCTAGTTATACTTTAAGAACTGAAGTCAATAGAGTGTTTTTTTATGAAACTTTCTTTTCTTACCTTCATCAGGATCTTGAATAGTTTCGGCTGTGTAGAATTGTAAAAGGAACAGGTGACATAATACTGTCCAGAATGCTATCATGGTACGAACCGAGCTGGACGTTGGGTCAGTTGTGATTGAGCTTTGAGATATTCAAGGGTGGAGGAGGGTTACCCCGTAGTGAGGTCCACGTACCTAGAGCTGATTGCTTACCTGGCAATCAGATATGTTATGTATCGATCTTTTGGAACGAATGTTGGAACAGCTGTGACGTCGTTGGAAGGATTGCCTTCATAGGTAAAATCGTGAATGATGCATCTACTGGTACCTGTGTAAAAATGGTCATTGTAGTTGTAATGTAGTTGGTGATAAAGGTGGGGGTAATGTCGTTCCAGGTGAGAGCAGGCATGGTAGAAATGGTGGATGATATTCGAGTAAGGTCCGTGAGTATCGAACGCTAATGGAAGCAGTTACAGTTGCGGTGGGGAGTTTGATTGAGGAGGATGTGTGAGCACATTTGGTTATTTATTGGGTTAAGCCATCGTTGTCACCAGAACACACTTGATAATCAGAAACGACATGGTAATCCAGTTCCGAAATAGGTCTGATTCTATTTCATTATTACAACAGAAATAATTTGTCACAGGAAGATTTATTCACTAGTGCTTTATCTCTTTATTTCATTATCTGTAAATTACAAAAACTTCTCGGGAAATAATGTAATGAATATGCATACACCTGGGTTCCTCCTCACAGTAATATGATTGACTGGTGTCAGCCATAAATACAGACTGATGTGGAGGTACATGGACGACGCCTATAGTCTTCTCCTATTGCCTACGCCTATTGCCTACCACTACGACGAGCACCAGTGCTTTAGATATTAAGTGAACCGATTCTGGCTCAAGGTTACAATCGTATCGGGTTTCGTAGACTTTATCCGTGAGATTACAATGGCGATCATTGTTCTATAATTTTAATGCCATGTCCCTTGGAGACGTAGACGATCATGGCTCTTCACAGATTCTTTTTCATTATCTGTAAATTGCAAAAACTTCTCGGGAAATGATGTAATAAATATGCATACACCTGGGTTCCCCCTCACAGTAATATGATTGACTGGTGTCAGCCATAAATACAGACTGATGTGGAGGTACATGAACGACGCCTATTGTCGTCGCCTATTGCCTACCATTACGACGAGGACCAGTCCATTACGGTTACCTGCTAGATTGTCCTACTCGATTACAGTAGTCCAAAACCACTTTGCTACTTCGAACAAATATATCCCTTTCCGGGACATATCAGGAAAGATAGTGGAGTGGTTTCCTGTTGTTTTCTGCGTGGTTTTGAATTCAGTATCATTACTCCCGATGGTCTGTCACACACGAATATAAAGTCCAGCTTACCCTGATGATGAATGAGATGTGTGATATGAAAGGAAGAGAAGGTTGTAGGAAGCGGAGATTATGAAGATAACGATTATAAATAACGATTGACCCTTGATTTGAAGAGGTAAAGATTAAAGAGTTCAGGGAAGCACCCACGCGGGAGTCTTTTCCCACAAAATAAAACAGGAATAGTGTGCTCTTCTTGTGGGCTGAGACCATCTTTATTGTTCTATCGATACCATACTGTAAAAACAACATCAAAACAAAATAAAGACACCATCCCTCTCGTTTTAACTCAGTAAACGTTTGGGCAACTCATTTTTATCATTCTCCTACTTGTTTAATCCTTTTTGCTCCTCCATTTTTTATGTCTCTTCAGTGCGTAGGCAATCATAGCTCTCCACAGATTCCTTTTCCTTATTATCTGTGAATTTCCAGGCGTGCTTGGGAAGATAGTAGTATTGATTCCCATTTATCTTTTCAACGGTTCTGGATTTCACAATTTTCCTTCTCCTAGACTGGTTGCACCCAAAGCTAAGAGACAAAGAGATGCATCCATACCTTTCCTAACGGCATTTGTGCGAAAGTGAACGCAACAGCATTAGCCGGAATTTGAATCCTGTTCGCTGAATCCACTTCTCACGCCAATGGCCGTTACACCACGGACTTCTCTAGACTTATTCTGGGCTCAGTTGCAGAGAATACTGGGGAGAACATTGTCAACAGCACGAACAATGGTCTGTGAGATCAGTTTTTTTTTAATAATAAAAGAAGAAGCATAGTAAAGTTTCTGATTGTGCAATAGTAATTTATCCATTGGGTTGTTTAAGATGAGGAAGGCAATAATAGTCGAAATAGATGTTTTGGTTGTGGAGGAAGTTGTTTTAATGTTGGAGTTACAGTGGCTTTCTGAATGCTTAGAATGAAGAAAATATTTTAAAATTACCCTCATTTGAGTTGGAAATGTGTGAGGCTATTTTCCTTTTTAAAAGTTATTACTTTGAAAGATATTAAACTTTTTGTTTTACAGATATTTAATTTTTAAACCGAAACTTTGTTCATTTAACATTCTTCCTTTAAATATTCTATTCGTCTTTTTTAAATTTATAATATTCACATAAATTCTTTCTTTCTTTTTTAAATATTTAATTCTTAAATTATAAAATTTCTCGTAGGTTTGTTACTTTTATTCAGTCATTCCTTTTTATTCGTTTCTTTCTTTCTTTCTTTCTTTCTTTCTTTTTTCTTACATTTTTCTTTTTTAGCATTCAGTCATTCCTTATGTCTTGTAATATCCCCGTTTATTTTTTCTTTCTTTCTTTTCTTTTTTTTCTTTTTTCTTTCTTTATTTATTTCTTTCAGCTAATTCCCTCTCGTTTTTTGTTACTTTGAGCATTCAAATCAAACCTTTATGTCTTTCTTTTCCCGTTTCTTTCTTTCTTTTTTCTTTCTTTCTTTCTTTTTTTTTTTTTTTTTTTTTCAGCATTTTTCATTCCTTTTTCTTTGTTTCCCATTTTAGGTTTTTTTCTTTCTTTTTTCTTTTTTTATTTCTTTTTAATTTCTTTCAATTTCTTTCTTTTTCTTTCTTTTCTTTCTTCTAATTTTCTTTCGTTTTCTTGACATTTTAAAATTTTTCATTTCCTTTTCTTGTATTTTAATTTATTCTTTTCTTTCTTTCTTTTATTTCTTTCTTTCTTTCTTTTTTTCTAGAAATTTCCCTTCGTTTGTAAATTATTTTTAATTTCAGTCATTAATTTCTTTCAAAAGCAAATTTCTTTCTTTTTTTTTCTTTTCTTTCTTTTTTTCTTTAAAATTTTTTCAGCATTCAAGTCATTTTTTTTTTTCTTTCTTAATATTTGTTTTTTTTTTTTTTTTCTTTTCTTTTCTTTCTTTCTTTCTTTCTTTCTTTCTTTCTTTCTTTCTTCTAATATTCCCTCTCGTTTGTTTGTTACTTTTAGCATTCAGTCATTCCCTTTATGTCTTGTAATATCCCCGTTTCTTTCTTTCTTTCTTTCTTTCTTTCTTTCTTTTTTCTAAATCATTTCAGTCAAAGGACTTTATGTCTTTTAATGTAACGAATTTTCTTTCTTTCTTTTTTTCTTTCTTTCTTTTTTTTGATTTTTCTTTCAAATATTCCCTCTCGTTTGTTTGTTTTTAGCATTCATTCATTCCTTTATGTCTGATAATATCCCGTTTTCTTTTTTTTTTTCATTTTCTTTCATTTCTTTCTTTCTTTTTTAGCATTCAGTCATTTCCTTTTTATGTCTATAAATTTTTTCTTTCTTTTCTTTCTTTTTTTCTTTATTTTTAAAAAAACATTCTTTCTTTCTTTCTTTCTTTCTTTCTTTTTTCTTTTTCTTTCTTCTATATATTCCCTCTCGTTTGTTATAATTACTTTTAGCATATATCATTTCCCTTTATGTCTTGTAATATCACCGTTTCTTTCTAATACTTTTTTTCTTTCTTTCTTTCTTATTTTTCTTTCTTTCTTTTTCTTTCAGTCATTTTTTCTTAATGTCTTGTATTATCACCGTTTCTTTCTTTCTTTCTTTCTTTTTTTCTTTCTTTCTTTCTTTTCTTTCATTTCCTTTAAAAGAATAATTCACCGTTTCTTTTTTTTTCTTTTTTCTTTCTTTTTTTTCTTTCTTTCTTTCTTTCTTCTAATATTCCTCTCGTTTTTTGATTTCTTTTAGCATTCAGTCATTCCCTTTATGTCTTTAAATCCCCGTTTTTTTTTTCTTTCTTTCTTTCTTTCTTTCTTTCTTTCTTTCTTTTTTCTTTCTTTCATTTTTTCATTCCTTTATGTCTTGTAATATCACCATTTTTTTGTTTTCTTTTTTCTTTCTTTCTTTCTTTTTTTTCTTTCTTTTCTTTTTTCAGCATCAAGAGTGTATTTTATTTCTTTTAATTGACCGTTTCTTTCTTTTCTTTTTTCTTTCTTTTTTCTTTTTTCTTTCTTTTTATTTTCAAATTTCTTCTAGCAAAATTCATTAAAGAAGAGTTTAATTCCCCGTTTCTTTTTTCTTTCAAGATTTCTTTATTTTTCGTTTTTCTTTTTTTCAGCATTCAGTCATCTTCTTTTTGTAAATTCGTTTCTTTCTTTCTTTCTTTCTTTCTTTCTTTCTGCAAAATTAAATGCATTCAGTCATTTCCCTTTATGTACCACAATATTTCGTTTCTTTCTTTCTTTCTTTTCTTTTTTCTTTCTTAATTTCTTTCTTTCTTTCTTTCTTTTCAGCATTGTTTTTTCCTTTATGTCTTGTAATATTTGTTTTCTTTCTTTCTTTCTTTCTTTCTTTTTTCTTTCTTTCTTGATTTCAGCATTCAGTCATTTTTTATGTCTTTTAAATCATTTTCTTTCTTTCTTTTTTTTCTTTCTTTCTTTCTTTCTTTCAGCATTCAGTCATTCCCTTTATGTCTTGATATTTTCCGTTTCTTTCTTTCTTTTTCACGATTTCTTTCTTTCTTTGGACTTTCTTTCTTTCTTTTTCAAATTCAGTGTTCCCTTTATGTCTTGTAATATCACTGTTTCTTTCTTTCTTTCTTTCTTTCTTTCTTTCTTTTTTTCTTTCTTTCAGTTTTTTTCCTTAGATTCTTTTAATATCTTCTTTTCTTTCTTTCTTTATTTCTTTCTTTTCCTTTTCTTTCTTTCTTTTCTTTCTTTTTCTTTCAGTCATTTTCTTTATTTCTTTTTTCATTCTTTCTTTCTTTTCTTTTTTCTTTCTTTTTTTTTCTTTTTTTCTTTCTTTATTTTTTTCAGTTTTTAGTCATTTCCCTTCCTGTCTTTAAATATCACCTTTCTTGTTTCTTAATGGAATTTTTCTTTACTTTTCTTTCTTTCAGCATTTTCATTCCCTTTATGTCTTGTAATATTTCGTTTCTTTCTTTCTTTTCTTTCTTTCTTTTTTTCTTTCTTTCTTTTTTTTCTTTCATTTTCATTCCCTTTATGTCTTGAAATATCTTTATTTTTCTTTCCAGATTTCTTTCTTTTTTTCTTTTCTTTTTTCTTTCTTTCTTTTCAGCATTCAGTCATTCCCTTTATGTCTTGTGGGTTCACCTTTTCACTTTCTTTTTTTTTTCTTTTTCTTTCTTTCTTTTTTCTTTCTTTCTTTCTTTCTTTCAGAATTCAGTCATTCCCTTTATTCTTGTAATTTTTATTTCTTTTTGTAATTTCTTTCTTTCTTTTTCTTTTTTTTTTCAGTCATTTCCTTTCTTTTAATATCACCGTTTCTTTCTTTTTCTTTCTTTCTTTCTTTCTTTCTTTCTTTCATTCATTTTCATTCCTTTTTGTCTTGTAATATCATATATTTCTTTCTTTCTTTCTTTCTTTCTTTCTTTCTTTCTTTCTTTCTTTCTTTTTCAGTCTTCCCTTTTTGTCTTGTAATATCATTTTCTTTCTTTCTTTCTTTCTTTCTTTCTTTCTTTCTTTCTTTCAGCATTCAGTAGATTTATGTCTTATAAAAAACCGTTTCTTTCTTTCTTTCTTTCTTTCTTTCTTTCTTTCTTTCTTTCTTTCAGTCATTCCCTTTATGTCTTGTAATATCACCGTTTCTTTCTTTCTTTCTTTCTTTCTTTCTTTCTTTCTTTCTTTCTTTCAGCATTCAGTCATTCCCTTTATGTCTTGTAATATCACCGTTTCTTTCTTTCTTTCTTTCTTTCTTTCTTTCTTTCTTTCTTTCAGTCATTCCCTTTAAAAAAGAATATCACCGTTTCTTTCTTTCTTTCTTTCTTTCTTTCTTTCTTTCTTTCAGCATTCAGTCATTCCCTTTATGTCTTGTAATATCACCGTTTCTTTCTTTCTTTCTTTCTTTCTTTCTTTCTTTCTTTCTTTCTTTCAGCATTCAGTCATTCCCTTTATGTCTTGTAATATCACCGTTTCTTTCTTTCTTTCTTTCTTTCCAAAGAAATTTTCTTTCAGCATTCAAAATTCCCTTTTTATTGTAATTTCTTTCTTTCTTTCTTTCTTTCTTTCTTTTTTCTTTCTTTTATCTTTCCGAAAAAATTTTATTAATGTTTATTCTTTTCATTTCTTTATTTCTTTTTTTCTTAATTTCTTTCTTTCTTTCTTTTTTTCTTTCAGCATTATTTTCATTTCTTTCTTTAATTAATTCATTCTTTCTTTCTTTTTCTTTCTTTCTTTTCTTTCTTTCTTTCTTTCTTTCTTTCTTTCTTTCAATTAAGTCATTCTTTTTTTTCTTTAATTATTCATTCTTTTCTTTTCTTTCTTTAATTTTCTTTCTTTCTTTAATTTTCTTTTTCTTTCTTTTTTTTTTCATTTCCCTTTTCTTTCTTTTAATTAATTCATTCTTTCTTTTTTTCTTTCTTTTCTTTCTTTCTTTTTTTCTTTCTTTCATTCTTCTTTCTTTATTTAATTCATTCCTTTCTTTCTTTTTAATTAATTCTTTTTTCTTTCTTTAATTAATTTTCTTTCTTTTCTTTCTTTCTTTCATTCTTTCATTTCTTTTTCTTTTATTTTTTTTCTTTTTTTCTTTCTTTTTTCTTTCTTTTTTTTCTTTTTTTATTTTTTTTTTCTTTCATTTTTTTATTTTTTTTTTTTCTTTCTTTCTTTCTTTATTCTTTCTTTTTTATTTTTCTTTTAAGCATTGTCTTTTCCTTTTAAATTTCTTTTTCAAAAATTTCTTTCTTTTTTTCTTTCTTTTTTAATTCTCTTTCTTTTATTTCTTTTCTTTTCATAGTATTGGACATTTGTCTATCATTATAGACCCTCTTCTTTCTTTTTTTTCTTTTTTCTTTCTTTCTTCAATATTTGATTTTGTCTCCCAATCATTAATTACTTTTAATCATCTTTATCCTTTCACAAAAATTTCTTGACCTTTCTTTTTTTTTTTCTTTCTTTATCAAATGTCTTATTCTTTCTTTCTTTCAGAATTATTTTCTTCAATTTATTGTTTGTCTTTTTTGAACTTTTTTTTTCTTTTTTTCCTATTTGTTTCTTTCTTTTTTCTTTCTTTTTTTGAAATTGTTCACTTTTTTTTAACCGGTCTTTAAAATCGAATTTTCTTACTTTTTCGATTCTTTCTTTCCTTCTTTCAAATGTTCGAACTAAAATTCTTTTGAGCGAGTAAAACTAGCATTTTAGCACTTTTTTTATTCTTTTTTCTTTCTTGGAACTTTCTTTCTTTTAACCGAAGGTAAATATTTTCACTTTTAATTTGCAGGATATCTCCATCATTTTCTTTCTTTCTTTTTTCTTTCTCTTTTTCTTTATTTGTCATGCATTTATTTTTTCCAATCTATGATTCCCCCGTTTCTATGATATTTCTCCTTTCTTTTTTTTTTCCATTTTTATAATTAGTATTCTAATATAAAATACTTTCTTTCTTTCTTTATTCATATAAAATTTTAGTTTTTATTGTTACCTAATTATATATTTTAATGGACCATAGGCAATATATCTGAAAAATTGAATTTTAAATTGAAAATCAATACAATGTATCGAAATATAAATTAGAAGCATATCGTAAGTTCATTATATGTTAAATAACGATAAAAAATAAATCTGGCAATTTTTGTCTTTCTTGGGGATTTTAAAAAGTAGAATAAGCCTTCTTTTCATTCGTATGGTTAAAATAGTGAATATTATATAGTCTTTTTTCGGTATTTTCTTTAATAAAAAAAAAAAATTTACGGACGAAGAAGTTTACTAGAATGTTTAGTGTTTTATTTTTCTTTTGGCTCGGCATTGCGGTGTTGCGTGATTTTTTCAATCAACACGAATGTTTTTAGTCTTTTCTTTTTTCACCAAATGATTTCGCTGACACCAATTTGTTTAAAAATATTTGCAAATTACGCTATCTGGGTTTTTTCACACCATTCGGGTATAGGTATTAAATAATACATTATATATATATATATATATGAATGATAAGATAAAGAACAAATAGTAAACGTTTATAAATATAACATGTTTCACTTTTATTAAACTTCATCAGAGGATGAGACATGAAGAAAGAAAGAAATTCTAGTATTTTTATTTTTGTGTTGTTTAGTTTTCATTGGTTACGCAGGATTCACTTGCTGACTTAAGCAGCGTTAGTATAGAATAATTTTCCAAAACTCAAGAAGAGATAACGCGTTATTTTTGTCATAAAAATAAAGGTTTATTGATGAAACTATGAGTCTAGAAGCATCCTAAATTGAATTAAAGAAAGTGGATACTGGACGGCCGTAATCTAGTTTTCTGTCTTCTTCGTAACACCTGGAAAGTGGTACAGTTTTTTTTGACGTTTGCATTCTATAAAACGTTCTATTTTAGATTTTCGGTAGTGGATGCGTACTACTGATGAGTCCCGGAAAGGACGAATGGACAAAAAGGATTTCTGCATTCTAGAGAAAGGAATGCTTAAAAAGTAGAACATTAGTAAATCCCCAAAATAAATTACTTATAATCAATATATAATGTGTGACATTGTATTTTAATATATTGAAGAAAGAACAGATGGAAATTGGAACCAGAAGAATTTTTTACAATTTACTTTGAGAAAAAAAAGCTCAATGCAAACTTAGAAAAAAAATCTTTAAAATATTTTATTATAACAATTACGAGTTTACTGCAAATTTAGTGCTGCACTTAAATTAATAATGTTTAGGAACCTTTAAGGAAGACTTGACAACAGATAACATAAAAGATATTTATTTGGAAAAAATTAGAAAACCAATCTTTACCTTTTTGAAAGTTAAAAAGTGAGACGGGACCTAATGTCAAAAATATTGCTGATTTTTTTGCATTTAATCAAGAATTAACCAAAAAAAAGTCAGGATCTGAAGCATTATTCTAATCATGGACGAATGGTCCCTTTAAGTATAAAAGTTTCGAGTAAAAAAAAAAAAATTTTTAAAAATTCTTAAAAAATTTTTTTTTTATTAGAAGAAGAAGCATGTCTGGATTCAACAAATCTATCCATTTCATTTCACTACGAGAATGTTCGAGGCTGACATGTCTAGAGTGTCAATTTGGGAAATTAATTTATAAACCACCTACTGATGAGATCTAATTTTTATTTTTCACTTTCCTATTTTAGCATAGTTCTGACTTTTAATTGGGGAAAAAATCCAGACGGAACAAGTAAATGTTTTAATCCCGATTTTTAGATCCCCTCCCTTTTTGAACTTTCAAAATTGGTAACGATTTGTTTTCATATTTTCTCAAATAAAATTTGTATTTTGTTATTACCATCGATGACAAGAAACCAATAAATTTCTGAAAATGAAATTTATTTAAATGGAAAAATGTTTTTATTTAGAAATTATGATCATCTTTCGGCCAATAAATTATGCATTATAAAATGGACAAAGTTCGTATAAATTATTTTTAAGACATTTTTTTTACGAGTTTATATGAATTTTTATAGATACAAATATTTCAGTAAAATCTGTTTATAAAAACCAGTATAACAACATTTACCGGCCTGAATGTAATAATATATATATATATATATATATATATATATATATAAAAAAGAGTGATGTGGCATTCTTTTTGATTGTTAATCTTTCTTCATTTAATGAAAAAGGAAATATATTTTTAACATCATTGGAGATACGACAGTGATAAAATATGGTCCTCCGTATAGGATTCAGGTTCGATTCAGTCGGAGGACGAATATTTTCATATATTAAAATAATTTAATTTGCCTTCATGTTCATTTGTTTTATGACCAATAAGACCACATTCTCTGTTTGCTTATGGCCATTTCAAAATTTTAATTATTTTTTCCTTACCACTTGCGTTTAAGGAAATCTGAATTAATGCTTGGATATAAAATTTTCTCTGGACGAATGTCGACGCAATTATCTTTTCTTCTGGTTGGTTGATTCGAGACATGTTTTTATTTTATCTGATCCAGAGGAATCGTGAATATCATTTCGCTGATCACCCGGATTTCTCTATCGAAGACATATGCTTTTATTTTATCTTACATCTTCGCAGATACTTATTAAAGTACACACACATGGGGAAGGACACATATTTCTTGGCTTTGTTAAATTTTACAGACCATTTCGTCAAACAGTCAAAATCAGCGTTCTATTCTCCTTGTGATTATATCAAAGCACAACAAACCAAAACCAGTTTTTAATTTACCTATATCAACTTTTACAATCCATTTTCACAAAAGTTTACACAACAATTATCATCAATCAATACAAAAAACTCAAACCTAGGAACATTTGGAACAGGCCCCTAACAAATATAAATACATATATATAGATATATATATATACAACAACCCCAATTTTACCAAAGGGAAATAGGCAAAAACTCAAAATGTACAGGAAGAACATATTCATGAAAATGCAATTATTTTAAAAGAAACAATCATTTTTTTAAAGCCCCAGTCCGAATAATAAAAACCCGTTTAGATAACACAAAACGGCAAAATAATAAACTTATCTACATATACGCCTACGACACGAATTCAAACTGTATGAAATTGGGGCTAAAATTCTGTCCTGCTCCTAAATTCCAATATATCGACTTAAAAAAAGACATTAAGGAATTTGAACGCAAACTGAGACTAATAGAAATATTTAATAATAACGAAAAAATTAAAGATGAATCATTAATAAAAAACAAATCCAATTTCTTCCCAAACAAAAATAATAATACAAATGAGCTAAACATATTTTTTGAAAACTCTGGAACCTCGACCTACAATAAAAATTCAAACCATTCAACAACCTTACATAGAGACAAAGACTAGCCTTAGAGAGAATCCGGAGAAATAACGTAATTATAAAGGAAGCAGATAAAAGCAGCGCTATAGTGATCATGGATAAAATATACTATAAAACAAAAATTATAGAAGCACAAGGGGATAAGAACTACTACAAATTAATCGACACTAACATAGACAAAAATATTATATAAAAAATTACAAAACTCTGCACAACACATAATAAGATATTAACAAAAAAGAAAAAGA